AGGGTAGCATTAGGAATAAATAACACCCAAACGCGGGGTGTTATTGTGACAGAGTTCCTGTATTGTAGCATTTATCATTCTCTAGTATCAACTTACTTTCTACGGGTTTTGAGTTCTTCTTTCAGGCAGTTGAGGTCTTTTATGTCTCACAACATCTAGAAAAGGGTTGGAAAGCAAAAGCAGTCAGTGTCAAATAACTTGGTACTAGGTCACCAAGTGCAATATGATTAAACTTACAAGAGAGTCATGCATAAGTAAACAAAGAAAAAGGGGATTTTTGGAGAGGAAGCATGACAATTCAGTTCTAGTGAGGCTCCTAACCAAGTCTGAGATAAATGTTTTCTTAACAGTTGGCATCATAAATGTGCCATTCTTTTTAAATATAAATCCATGTATTACCTTATGCATGGCAAGGATAATGATCCAAGACTGAGTCATCTACACTCACCTCGGGCAAAGAACACAGGGACTCTTCAGGCCTGCTAGAGCTCTCCATCCTTAACTTCCTTCATCTCTTCCAAAGGGAGTTTATATGCACTAAACAGGCATCCTGGGGAATAGCAGGAAGGCAAAGTGGACTTTATGGAGAATTCCTCACTGGTACAGCCATAGAGAAGATCGTCTGCTCTCATAAGGTTAATTAACTTGCCCATTAGTCTTCCAGATCAAAGGTTGTCAATGATTGTAGATTTCCTGATAGAATCCATCTTCGAAAATCTTGTAAACTATTGTCTCTAGCATTTCATGGTTCTCTCTGCTGTTCTTGAGTGTACCAGGGTGTAGTGCAAAGGATTTTGTCATGGTCCCGCTTTTGCTACAAGAGCACACAATGTAGAAAAAGTTGAAAAGAATCCTCACACCAAAATCTCAAAATGATTTAATAAAGAAAAAAGACATTTTGTAATAAGTATAGCATTAAATATTTTGATAAGATTTTTTTTCATAGTTATTTTTTTAAGACAGTGAATAAACAGTTTTATTGTCTTCCTCATAGTACAAATGTGTATGGGTTTTTTGGGTTTTATAAACCTAATTCTAGTCCTACTGACCTCTATATTTTGAGTCAACATATTCTTTTCTGTTGGAATATTCTATACTCTAAGTGCTTAATCTACTGCTCAAAGTTCTCTCTTCTTTTATAGTTCCCACTTTTTTAGCATTTCATCTCCCCCTTGGAAATGTGTATCAGATTCTGGATAAGAAGAGGTTATTTTCTTTGTACTAGAGTTTAGTCTGACTTTTCTTCTTATATTTTGAAGAAAGTAATTTAATTTATTACCTAATTTCTTATATCTCTTTTCCTAAAATTCAAAACTATCTCAACCCAATATTATTTCTAAATATTTGTTGTAACACTGAATAACTTCTTTTGATCTGATGGATCAAACATCATCATTTTTCTATATGCCTTTGTTCTTGTAAGAGGTTTTCATGATACAGTCATGGCTGGCCTTGAACTTGCAATCCTCTGACAAGTCTCAGCCTCTCTAGTGCTAGTATTACAGGTTTTCTCCACCACACCCAGCATTCAAGTATTCTGAACTTCAGGAATATTTTTCTTTGAGTTTTTTCTTCTGCCTTACTGTTTCTTTTTGGTACTCCTGTAATCCCATATATGATTTAAAACACATAAAAAGATATGCCTCAGATACATTTTTACCATTTTTAATGTAATATTTGACTTGTCTAAATTTTAAGACATTTTCTCCTTATAAGCTTCTAAGTCATTTATTTATCTTAGGAATTCAACTTATAATTCAATTTCTAAATTATATTTATAGTTAGTATTTTAAATTTCCCTATTTTTTCTAATAACTGCTGTCTCCAAAAACCCATTGATTTTATTTTAATATTTTATTAATATGTATTATTTGCATATATTAGTGGAGATGAATATGATATTTCAACATATACATATAGCATATACTCATCAAATTCAGCCTACATTTGTCCTCCCTCCCTCCAACTTCTCAACCTGCAGTAATCACTCATTAAATTCAGGTACTTATTTTAGCTTTCACTTAAGAGAGAGAACACGACATACTTATTTTCTGCATCTGATTTATTTTTCACTTAATATAATGTCCTTCAGTTTTGCGTAAATGGCTAAAAGAACATGATTTCATGCTTTCCTCGTGGTTGAATTATATTCCATGTATATACAGCTCATACTTTACTTATTCATTCATCCACTGATGAGTACCCAGGTTGATTCCATATTTGAGCTACTGGGAATAGTGGCATAATAAACATGGGCATCAGTAGATGTCTGCAATACATTATTTTCATTTCCTTTGGTTGTAGATCCAGGAGTGGGAAAGTGGTACTATATAATAAGTTTATTTTTAGTTTTTTGAGGAACTTCCATATCACTCAGATAATAGCTATAACTAAATTACTTTACCATCCACCATATATGAGTTGTTTTTCTTGCCAACATTGTGTGTGTGTGTGTGTGTGTGTGTGTGTGTGTGTGTGTGTATTTCTGCTCTGAACCCTAATCACCATCATCTTCATCCTCATCCTAACTGGAGTGAAATGGTATCTCAGTATAATGTTTATATACATCTCCTGTTCTGAAAATGATCTTAAGCCTTTTTTATATTTGTCAACTCTTTGCAGTTCTTTTGAGAAGTACCTACATGGACGATTGGTACATTTTTTTAAATTGTATTATTTGGTTTTTGTTGTTTTTTGAGTTCTTGTGTACTCTGGATAATCTTTGTCAAATACATAGTGAGCAAGTAATTATTCCACTTTGTAGACTGTCTCTTCATCCTGTTGATTGTTTTCTTTGAGCAGTTTTGGCTTGATGAATTTCCATTTGTGTACTTTGCTTTTATTTTATGGATCTTGGGCATCATATCTAAAAGTTTATGGCATGTATCAGTGTCTTAAAGTATTTGCTCTATTACTTTTGTAGTAGTTTTCAGAGTTTCAGATCTTACATATAAGTCTTTAATACATTGAAGTTCATTGTAGTATATAGTACAGGGATCAAATTTCAAAATTCTGCATAAAGATATCTAGTTTTTCCAGTATCATTTATTAGTGAGGCTATCCCTTCTCCGATGTTTATTGAAAACTTGTTGAGAATCAGTTGACTGTAGATGTATGTATTTATTTCTGGATCTCTATTCTATTCAACCGGCTAATGTGCCTGTTTTTAAAGCAGAATTAGTTTTTGTTGCTATAGCTTTGTAATATGTATTATAAGCAGATAGTGTGATGTATCCAGATTGTTTTCAATATTCAGTATCTTTGTGCATATATTTGAATTATAATATTGTTTAATGTAGTTCTCTGAAGATACCATTGGGATTTTGATAAGAAGTGTGGACATTATAATAAAATCAATTTTTGTAATCCATGAACATGTCAGATCTTTCCCTTCGGTTAATTTTCTTCACTATCTACCATTAGTGTTTTATAATTTTCATTGTAGAGGTCTTTCTCTTGGATGGTTAGATATATGTCTATTGTTTTACTTTATTTTATGTTGATTACTGATTTTATGGTTTCTTGCTCTGCAAGTTCATTATTGGTGTAAAAATTTCCACTTTTTCTAAAATTAATTTTGTATCTTGCAATATTAATTCATTTATTTTTTCTAATAATCTTTTGGTGGATTTAGTTATAGGATCATATGATCTGCAAACAGCAAAATTTTGACATCTTACTTTTTTATTTGTATGCATTTTAGTTTTTTCTCTTGCCTAATTGCTCTAAAACATTTATTATATGAGTGAACAACTCTTATTTTCTAAATTTGTTCAAGGTTTTTATCAAGACATGTTCAATTTTATTAAATTCTCTTTCTATATCTATTGAGATGATCATGTAATTTATTTTCTTCATTTTTTGATGTAATGAATTATACTGTTAATTTGCATATCCCTGGAAGAAATAAAGTTGATCATGATGATTGGTTTTGAAATACCTTGAGTTTTATTTACTAGTATTCTGATGAGAATTTTGTATCTGTGTTTATTGGGATAATTGGTCTATAGTTTCCTCTTTCTGTTGTGTTCTTAATGTAATACTAACTCTGTAAAATGAGTTGGGAAATATTCCGCACTTTTCAATTCTTTGCAATGATTTGAGAAGAAATAATATTTTTTCCTAAGTTTTTGTAAAATCAAGCTCTGAGGCTATCTAGTTCTGTTAATTTTACTACTGATTCAATTTCATTACTTGTTTTTCTGCTCAGGTTTTTTATGTTGTCTTGATTAAATGTCAGTAGGTCATATGTTTTCAAAAATATCTATTTCTTCTAGGTTTTTTAATTTGTTAACAAAAATTTAAGCATAGATACTCAGCTAAATATGAGTATCTCCTTTTGTTTATATCATGTTTTATTAGATCATTCTTTAAAATATCAGTATCAAATGGTAGTAATTAGTGGCAAATAATAATAAGTTTGTATTTATTTTGCATAACTGTTCTTATGAAATATGCCTACTATAAAGTATCTCATTTAACATTCATAATAACAGATGAAACCTAATTTTAAAATATATTACTTTCATATCCATACAAAACAAAATTAGTAGGCTGTGAATTTAGTTAATAAAGTCAAGATCACAAAATTAGTAGTGATACTGCTGAAACACAAACCTTAGTCTTTTCTACAGATCATATTCTAATATTATATCTTATAATCTCTGTGTATCATTAACTTTGTATAAAATGCTGATGCAAAATAACCAGTGTTTATATAAAAATAACAAAGTTAATGTGCCTAAAATCTTTTAATGACTTAACCAAAATTTCTTTTTATATTTTATCCATTTATAGAAGCATACACAGGTAGTACATGCTATTTTAATGAAACATGTATAAACTACATAAATATATACATGGTAAGTACTAGAATACAAAAGAAAAATCAATGTGATAGTGAATGAATAAAATGCTGAGTTTAGGGTTCATATGTAAGAATAACATCTAAAATGAGAAGTCCCCATCAACTAGCATTAACCTGCAGATACAGTAAACATCTAAGAACAGAGAAGTTTCTTAATTGCCATTTTCATATCCTTATTTCTCAAACTATAGATAATAGGGTTGAAAAGGGGTGCAAGAACTGCAAACATCAGTGCAAAGGCTGTGTCCAAAATTGGTGGGAAAGTGGCTGAGAAACGCAGGTACATGAGGGAAACACTGCCGTAGAACATGAAAAAGACAGCAAGATGGGCACCACAAGTAGAGAAAGCCTTGCAGTGACCTTCGATGGAAGGAATTCTCAGGATCACAGTGATGATTCTGACATAAGAAACGGTAATAATCAAGACAGAGAAAATGATAGCCACAGCATGAATCACATCCTCCACCAGAATCATGGATGTGTCTGTGCAGGCCAAGCGCAGTACAGGTTCAAAGTCACAGAAGATCTGGTGGATTTGGTTGGGACCACAGAAGGGCACTGTGGAAATCCATGCAATCTCTGGAAGCAACACAAGAAATCCAAAGATGCAGGAGCCTGTGGAGAGCTGAGCACACAGCTGGGGAGTCATGATGGTGGGGTAGCGGAGAGGAATACAGATGGCAATGTACCTGTCAACAGCCATGGTGGTCAGCAAAATCCCCTCTGAATTTCCCAGTGAATGGAAGAAGTACATCTGTAAGAGGCAGCCAGTCATGGAGATGGTCCTCTGCTTACTAATGAGGTTGGAGAGCATTTTGGGAATTGTCGCAGTGGTATACCAGATCTCCAGGAATGAGAAAATGCTGATGAAATTATACATGGGGTTGTGGAGACGAGAATCCATCCTGACTGCAAAGACCACAGTGAGATTCCCAGTAACAATGAACATGTAGATGACAAACAAAGAAATGAAGAAGAGGAGGCCTCCATCTTCAAACTGAGGAAACCCAGAGAAGAGAAACTCGGTCACCACTGTAGTTTGATTACCCTTCATCATGGCTTCAGCTATCTTAACTCATGTGTAGAGTGATACAGCTCACTTCCTAGGAAATGTAAAAAGTCAGATGCATTGGTTCATATAAGACTGAAATGAAAAATAAATTTTAGGCAATTCATATATTTCTCTATGAATTCACAAACAGGTTTTCATTTAGTACCTATTATGCACCCAGTATGTCTTACTGAATTCAGCAGCAAACGCAGCAGTCTCCTGTTTCTTACAGTTTGTAATCTAGTGAAAATACAAATGCTTAATTGCTTTTTAGTATAATTTTTAAGATGTTCTGAGTAATATAGCAGAAAATATTATCTTATGGTCCTTCGCTGCAGATTCCATTAAATACCTAGTTATATTTCTCCCTAACTAAACAGTTGGTCAGGGTCTAGAGGTAGCGACCCAGGTCTGGTGGTGGGGCTCACAGGACCAGCTCTGGATATCCATTAGCAGAGGGGCAGGATTCCAGAGTGGTGAGCATGGGAAGCATGCATTTGGGCTGTCCAAGTTATTCTGATTCATGAAGTAAGCTCTACTACTAATGACATGGGGGACTGTAACTATTACAACAGAAAGGTTACTAGAACAGCAAATCACTCAATTTGTTTTTCTCAGGGGACAGTTGACCTACACACTGGATGTCTTTCTGTGTCTAAATTACTGTCGAATAGCTCTGGGAGCAGCATTGTTACTACTCTCATCACCTACCCACCTGTAAAGAGAATCACCTACTGGCCTCAGCTAGCCTTGGGGTTGATTTTTAGTTGGGAGCACACTGCTTGACTGTTTAGCTATAAAGCACTCCTATTACCTATCCATGTGCCTGTCTCTCTGCTTTGCTGGAGCTATGAGGCACTGATCTCTGTTATTATTTATTCCCATCAGGCCAAAAGAGATGATTTTCTGATCAACCTCAAGTCCATGGCACTGGAGTTCACAGAAAACACCTAGCGGTGGGCTCAGTGGTTTCTGTATGGCCATGCAGGCAGCGCTGAACCAAGTTGGCATCAGCTGTGTACAGATCTTTCCATACTGCACTGCTTTCATTTTTGGGGCCCATGTGGCTCACCAGATACACACTCTGGATATCCACAACCTTGGAGAATGTTGGGTTACATACCTCCCAACTAAACAATAAGAATAACTCTCTTGCTCAGAATTATCCTCAAAAATTTGCAGAAAGAAAAGATAGATGAAGCAAAGGAAAATAAAAATAGCAGAATAAAAAAAAATCAAAGTTTACCTAGGACTTAGGAAAATGAATTTTTGCAGTGCACTCTCAGGTCTTGTAACCGCACGATTAGATTTGAATAAGCAGTGTGTTATAATATGTGAAGAATATAAGAGCCAGAAATGATTTAAAGTATATTTGTGTGGATTTGACTTTAACTGTCTGCTACTAGAATTTTTCCCTTGTGATGAAACCTGGAGCTCCAGTATTTGAGGTGACCTTGTGTATTTTTCTGCTCATTATAATTTTTACCTGAAATTAGAGGGAGCAGATGAATTTTAGCACTTTTGATATATTTCAAAGTGTTAATTGAGACGTATAATCAAAACATAGTATATGCACTGAAATCTAAAGTTTTATAAAATTAATAGACATTAATGATAAAAGGAAAAATAAAATATTTTGATGAAAACATAAACAAATAAAGGTTAAACTTTATTCTGCATTTTCTTAAATATTCTCAATTTCCAGAATCATGCTCTTTATTCAAACTATACAATAGCTTTTAGTGTGCCCAGAGAAATGGGTGAGGTTCTATGAATAAATATCAAAGAGAAGACTCAATAGGAAAGTAGTTCCAGTAGCAGAAAAAAAAAAAATCAACCAGCAGAAATTGATATGCACACAATGAGACCAGTGAGAAAATTACTGGAGTATTTTAGATCTTTTCCATCAGGCTCCTAGCACATCAGTTTTTGAAAGATATTGAAAACAAGAAGAGATTCTTGGAGACTGCATAAGATGTCTGTTCAGGTTGTTAATGTTCTGTCAAAACTGTCAGGGAATAAGAAGATGAAAGTCAAAACATCCTAGTATGACACAAGGCTCTCACTACTGGGTCCGCAGAAGTGGCAGAAGGCATGATAAGGATGCAGGTGCTGTTACTAAAAGTACTGAGGAAAAACAAACCAGTTAATTAAAAAACTAATGTCTAGGCCACCCATACAGCTACCCTCACAGACAAAGAAAGTTCAACAAACAGTATCGCTTTTGAAGAAATGCGAAACCATTTAAAAATGAACTTATAAGAGGAAATAGGAGCACTTGCTTATGTTATTTGCCAGTATTTTCCCCATAAGACAGTAGAAAGTTTGTCTAATCTGATACTATTACAATTATTCTGGGAGGCCACTGTACTGGGGCTCGGGCTTATCAGCCCCTTTGTGTGAGCCTCTATGGGGTCCTCTCTCCTCTCCAGTTCTGTTCTCTTTTGATGCCCTCTTTGCCAGTTCAGGGCTTCCAAAGTGAGGAACATAAGCTCAAACTACAGCCTCACAAAATTATTCTAAATAACACTATTTAAAATTCATATAAATTTACTCAAGAATGATATTTGAACATTCAGATTAAAACAAACCATTTAAAACATTCAACTCTTTAAAAAAAATTTTGAGATATTTGATAATTTCCAGGAATCTCATTATTCACAAAATATACATCCTGAATATTTTCCTAAAAAATTAGTTTATATTAACAGAGTCTGACAAATATTGCTTTGGTAGTTTCTGAAAAATTAGGTACCTTGAGAAGAATTAGAATGTGCTTACCATAAATGCTAATTCTTCAGATTTTTGTCAAATAAGGTTATTACAAGCAAGAAAATGATATTGCTCCACAAGTATCAATTTTTATCAATCACTGGCACCAAAATGAAAGGAAAACAGACAATATTTTCTGTTCTTTCACCACCATGCCTGACTGTATGGGTACTCATGCTTGAGTATATAGGTGAGTCCCACTGGGTACCACAAAACTGTTATTACAGTTCTCCTTCATTACATTTACTATTTGTATTAATGTACTATCTGTTTAAACCTCTTTGCTGAAGTACTTGATCATTCCTGGCATCTGAGCCATTTTAATAGGGTATCCTGAACACTGTAAATTGCCTGATTCATGGATGTTAGCTACTAGAATGACAATGGGCAAGCCTAGGACTGATACATACAGAGAACAAGATTCATACAGACAATAGTTTTCCTAAAAATCTCTTTTCCAGCCATGTGGATCTCACCAGAGAGACTTCTGTGCCCAGAATGGAAAACACGAACAATGAGCTGAGCATATATGTCACCTAGAGAGAGACTAAACTTCTCTGGGGCCAGAGAACAAGCTGATACATGACTGATCCTCTTCTTCACCAAGAATTCAGAAGCTGTTGTAGAATGAACATATGCAAGCAGATTGCCATAGCCATAGGAAGTTACCAAATAGCATGAAAAGCTATCCTGCCTGTCAGACCCTGGGTACAACTGAAAAATGGCATATTTGCAAGGTAATAGACCTGGATGCCTTTGGCAGGTAAATCAACGTGTCCTGTTCAGAGACATGTCCTGATCGTAATAACAGTTTACGTTCCCGACAGATTTCATTTAGCCACCCCAAATACATTCACTCAGCATGCTCTATTCAGGCCCTGTACAAGCACATTTATTATCTGTTCACTGTCTAAATGCCCTGCACCTGATAAAGGCCTCAACTTCTGTCCAACTTGAATATTGGTAAACTCAGTCTTGAAATGTAGGAGGGACTCTCCATGTTCCCCATCGCTCCCAGCTGCAGGGCTAACTGGGCACTTTTTGGGCAGTCACAGGACAGACTGCAGCAACTGATAGGAATGAACAAATTATACACAGTTTATGCTGGGAGACTCAGACCACCAGTTCTGAGGCAGCAATTCTCTGAAAGGGCAGCATTTCACCAGGCAATCTTACCCCTCGACTTATAGATTTCATTTATAATTATTGACACCTTGGCTTTTGGGGAACCTGTTTTGTCACAACTGTTCAGTCCCTTCAGTCACTTTTCAAAGACTCAAATATATGAGAGATTTAAATAGTTCTTTCACAATAAGGAATGAAAGGCTGTATAAATCTGGACTGAAATCTTTTATAAATTTCAGAAAAATAAACCCTTAAATCATTTATAGGAAAATGGATATACCTGAGATGATAACATTACTCAAAATAATCAAACACACAAGATCAAATATCAAAGTATAAAGAGAAAATTAAAAGATTGATAATAGGAAACAGGGAGACAAATATTTTGAAAATAGGAAGATGATCAAGAACCAAGAGATTCATGGAGGAGTGGGGTGGAGAAGAAGAAGTAAAAAGAATTAAGATACATTATGTAAATGTACCAATTCCCACAATGAATTTAATCATTATGATATAGGAGAATGAAACTTCCAACCTATTATATGTCCAGTACAAGTTTGTGTTCTCTAAAACAGAAGAATGAATTTTAGCAACAATAGAGGTTAACCATAGAATATATTTATTGAGAGAAAGAAACCTTCTGTCTGAGAGACAGAAGGGGTCCTAGAAGACTGTCAAAGATTGTCTTTTCTAGTGACTTTTATAGAGTAAAATCATCAGGTGAGATGGGTCTAAGGTAGGGAAGAAATTGGAACTTGCAAGGTGGGCATAAAGTGGGACAGAACTTTGGTCAACCAATAAGATTAACCTGATAAGATTAACCAATTTTACCTCAGGTAAAAATTGATTAAATCAGGAACAAATGGGGAGGTGAGTCACATAGTAAGCAGTAACTCTTCAAGTTGGGGGTTAGAATGGTGACTCCTGACTTCCTCAAGGTGATAGAGAACTATTTAGACTGTCAGTCTTTAGCATGTGATTGCATTTGCTTTGTCTTTTGTCTTGAGATCTGGCCCACAGCAGGAGGTGCCTTTCTTCAGAGGTCACAAATTTCTGAACTTCTGCACTGGCTCCTTTGAGGACTCAGCCCTGCTTGACTGCTATAATAT